TTTCTTAAACTATAAAAAAGGATTATTATTTTAAGACAAATTCAAAAAATATTTGTCTCCTAAAATTGATAAATAAAAATTGACATATATAAATAAAGCACTAAATCCTTAATTAGTACCTTTTGTGTTTGTATTTCAACTTAATTATGTACTTTATTATAAGTATAAAGTCATATACTTTTTTATGTCTATGTATTTTTTTTTTATATTTATAATCAAAGTGTTTCCAAATCAACTTTTTTGCATCTTGAGACTAATCTTTATCTAGACTATAACTAGACTATTTTAAGGACATACTTCTCATATCAAACTATAGCATTCAATAAAATTTATGTTTATATAGTGTATGAATTATATTATATGTTTTGCAGTAAGTTTAATTATATTTTAATTTGTATTAAAAGGTTATAATATTCAACAAATATAGAAGCACATCTGCGGATATACTTATACTCAGTGAGTTGAATAGTAAAGATAAATTTTTAATCCCTAAGTAAATACTAAATAGTAAAATTTTATATCTATTAATTTTCAAATTAAATACAAATATAGATAAATACTTCATCCATGTACTTGCTTACCCCACCTATGTACATAACTCTCTTAAACCCCCCAAAACTTATAGTTAAAGGGATAGTAATAGGCATTAGGAATTTTTCTTTTTCTAGTTATAATCTTTTTGAACCTTAATAAAATTCAAAAATTTTAATCTATTTCCCTTTTTAAAAAAATTAAATTTACTTGATTACCTACCATAGTTTTGAAAAATGTCCTTGTGATTGACTCAATTAAAAAGTTAATAAAAAGAAATAAACAAACATAGCTAATAATTGAGAAAAAAAAAGTTGGTACAATATTCATGTAAAAAGATAATAATATGGAATATAATGTGGCATTGGTGTATCCTATTATAGTCAAATTGGAAGAAAAGAATAATATAAAAATATATGTTAAACGTCAAGCCGTTAAGCTTTACAGGTTAAAAGTGACGGTGTTAGCCATGGAATGGACGGAAGGAGGAAATTGGTTACTTTTTGAATAGTAGAGGGAGAACATATGAGCTCAAAATGAAGTAGAGGGATGACCTGCGGTGATTCCATAGTACGAGGGTAAAATTGACCTTTTTCACAAAGTAGAGGGATGAGAGTTGGCTTTAACCCAATTATAACCCCATAGCCCAATAAAAGACTAATGTCTGCTCCTACTTTATTTCTATTACGTTTAATTTAAGCCGAAATTTAAATTGTGATATAAAACAAAGACTGCCTCGGAGAAGATTAAATATAAAAAAATTGATAATAAAATTGACCTTTTTCACAAAGTAGAGGGATGAGAGTTGGCTTTAACCCAATTATAACCCCATAGCCCAATAAAAGACTAATGTCTGCTCCTAC